GTCTCGAACGCATAAGACAGTAAGAAAGCTACAAGTGAAAGGAGAGGAGTCAGTGCGGGGCATTCTTTCCGAGTGACCGTCTCCCTCGGGGTAAGTTGTTTACTTCCTTGGTTTGATATTTCTGGCGGAGGTCAGAATGAGGACACATGTTGTTCTTTCATATTGCTTTCATAAAGCATCAACCAGACGGTGAGAGTCTAAAGATTTTCCAGGAGATGGTGCTTCGGCAGTTCAGCCATGACACCCCTCCATTTCTTTTGCCTGGCTTCCTCATTGCTCCTGCCTAGCTCTTTCTCCTCTTCCACTCAGTTTCATTTTCAGAGTGTCTAGTCTCAAGTTTCCCATTTTCCCATCTTCTGTTCTCTTTTCCCTCTCTTCATGATCCTACATTTCCCCCATTCCTTCTTTCTTTCCCCCTTATGAGCTTCTCCATTTTTCCTTCTCTCCTTTCCCTGAAAAAATGGCACTATTCACCTTCTCAGTAAGTTCTGCCTCATGTCTCCTCCTTTCCCAGCCTCTGCACAATATGAGAGAGGCCTTCATGTGAGCAGAGGTGTCTGGAAACTGCATAAAAACCAAGAGAATCAGCCAGCGGTGATGGTAAAGCAGCCTACAAATAAGTTGAGAGATACATCTAGAACATATAACAGCTACATTTGGGCAGGGTATAATGAGAGGCTGTGTAAGCATGAGTCTCAAGTGCCACATGTAAATTAATACATTGCATGGACCTAAGATTACCTATTATGTGTTCATGGAATAAGAGAATTTCTGTTGCAGGGGTGATCAACCTCTGGCCTTGCACGCCAGATTTGGCTTCTGGCGCAGTGTCATCCAGCTCATAGGGTTCCCTACACAACCACTGGGAGCACCATGGGCCATGGCCTTGCACAATAGATCAGGTGCACAAGACAGGAAGCGATCCCAGCACACAGGGTGGGTAGAGGTGGTGCAGGGCCCTGGAGCCTGATCGCTGTATACGGGACTGGGCAAGAGATGGCTCCGGGAGGAGATGGTGCAGGACCCTAGAGCCTGATCCCAGTGGGATGGGGGCAGGGCAGGGCCCTGGGGCATGATCCTAGTGTGCAGGGTCCGATCTGGCCTGCAGACCAGCCCTGCACCACTCATTTTGCCCATGAGGCCAAAAGGTTGAGGCTACTGTTCTAATGCATGCATGCTGAGGCAAGTGGCATAACATTGCCTTTGAATCCTTATTGTTTTCCTGAATGTTATGAATTCAAAGAGAAATAGTCAAGAAAAGAAAAACATCCCCTTACTTCTACCATATTTGCTTCTGAAATTTCTATGAAATTTAAAATCAGGATTACCAGTTGATTATGCTGATGCATGTATATAGACTTTCTCATCACAGGGACAGTAACACTAGGCCAGTCAGCTTCTTGCTCGTTTTTCAGTTTCACTTTCAGGTTCTCATGCATTTGCACAGTGCTGAACTGTTGCGTCCTGAATGCTCCAAGGCAATGTTTGGTTAAAAAAAAATATTCCATTGGAATAAAAAATAAAGAGAAAAGTTTTTGTTGGGCTTTGGTATTAAAAATCTTTGACTTAGAAAATGTACATGTTGGGGTCAATGGTAAACCTCTTATGCTAGAGACAGAAAAAGCCATATTGGGTCAGAAGTCCTTCTTCCCTTCATGACTGGTCTCTGCTATACTATTAGTTTCTAGTGTTCAACTCGACAGTGTTCCTTTAAATCATAAATTCACTATTCCGTTGGCCTAGTTGTTGTTTGTACTGAATATAATAAGCCACTGTATCGCTGCCAAGAGGCCATTCTGAAATGTCCTTGTTTCTCTTGTTCTACCTCAGCCCTCTTTCCCCCCATCATTTCCTTTCTTTTGTTGATTTCTCGAGGCCCAGTCACTGTCCCTTGAGCCACTGCACTTCACGTATTAGTAGTGCTGAATGGTCACAAACCACCCACTAGGATTTCCTTCCTAAATTGTTTAATTCCACCGAGTGAGAGTGTGAGAGGTCAAAACAGCCCATCTCCTCAGCTCCTCCAAACTGGCAGCGCCGCAAGAAAACACTGAAGATACCCTTAGCTACCACCAGTCTGAGGACTGAGGTGATTCCCTTGCCTCTTGAATACAATCCAGAGTGCTCCAGATAACACTAAGCTCCTCTTCCCAGCTATGTGATTAAAAAAAAAAATACAAAGATTTATTTTAGCAATATAGGGAATATGGAAGCATTTTCATTCCCCTGTTCCAAATGAACCACTTTTCATTTTCCAGCTTTCCAACAGAAATATTTCATACGTGTATGGAGGCATATCATTGTAGCACAATTTGTCTCAGAGACATCTTAGAGCACAGGCTGAGGCTAACTACAGAAACCGCTACTGCAACCCAGGAGCATCTAGATCAGGGCTGGTCAAGTGACAGCCTGCAGGATGCATCTACCCCGCAAGGGTTTAACATGCAGCCTGCAGGCTCCTTCCTGTTCATCAATGGTGTCTGGCTGAATATGAACCTCAGGTGACCAGTTTCAATGGTAATAATCCTCAGAGTGGGTAGGGGGAAAGTTGTGAATTTGTCTAGTAGTCACGTTTATGAAAAAAGGATAACGCTCTCCCTATGACTTACCATTTTATAATAGTACGCATGTTGGCATGGGAATGATCCGATACTACCTCCCACCTAAATCCTGTTCATTCCCCGTTGGTGTTGCTTTATGTCATGGTCAGGGCTGCAGGCTCTGTAAGCCAGAAAAGTAATAGACTAATGGAGTTTCCTAATATAATAATGTACCCCTACCGTTGCAAGTTTGGCAGTGAACAAAGTGTCTCTTGGTGAGAAGACTGTCTCTCTGATTTAATTCACACACGTTAACTAGAGAATTTCTGCAGCTAACCATGGAGGTGAAAAGGGAGTCCTATGTTTTGGGACTGGGAGACAATCATTGACTCCTTTCTTCTAATTGTTGCCTTGAGCTCCCTGATGCATGTTGCACAACAGAGTTTGATGTGTCAAACCTGTGTCACATAGAGAGGATGTACAAATTCCTTCCTATACTATCATACAGCCTCAGCAAGGTGAAAAAGGGGAATACCAAGGCAAGGGATGCCAACAACTCTCCTACGAAAGGAAAGATGAAGACCAGACTGAGTCGTCATTCTGAGGTATATACAGAAGATTAAAAATGACCTCCTGAGGATGATGATATTCCTACTGGAGCTCCAGAAAGAAGTTAGTGTTACTGGTCTTCAGATGCACTAGCTAACTAGACTGCTCTTTCCTGTCTGAAATGTCTTTGGTAAGATGCTGACAAGGAATATGTGGGTTGGCATTGTGATAGGTATGGGAAATCGGGGCATTCTGCGAGCCTATGAGCAAGGGATCTTACACTACCTGACAGGAGGAAAGGACTGTGACCATGAAGGCCAACCTCCCTCCGCTTGCACACCATGGTGGTTTCTATGTGGGAGAAGTGATGTGGTTTGACAGAACTCCAGTGTATCTTTTGGGGCTGGCTCCCTTTCAGCCCTTATTTTACTTTGTATCAGAATGCAGGAGACTCTCTAGTTCATGTCCTTATATTGTGGCTCCATTTTGAGGCTGAAATGGTTTTTATTCACCATATTCTCCTTGTGGCTCTCTAGCCTGCGAGCTGTGATCATTAGGAAGAGACTCAAACTACAAGGAGTAAATTTGGAACTGCATAGGGAACCCGTCAGGTTAGTGGGTGCTTAGATGTGGAATTTTAGTTTGCTCCCATCTCTGAGGAAGGTATGAAAAAAATTGATGGAAGGACGATTTCAGACAGAAGAATCCACTCCCACACGTAAGTCAATATTTGAACTACTGAAATTGTGGAAGAAATGTACTGCAAGCGTTGAAAGTGTAATTACTCAGATTGACAAATGGCCAGAGCATTGGAGTCTAAACATTTTCTCTTGATAAAAATAACATCAGATTTTTACTGACCAGGTGTCACTTTCATATCTCTCAAGAAGGTGGCACATCTAGGAGTACAGACAGGCAGAAGGGTTATCCCTCTATAGATGCACCCAGTTTAGTCTTGCTTTGCTTACGAGATCTCACAAGATCCCTGCTTAAAACTCATCTGTACTACAATGCCAGCTTTGTACTATGACAGCTGAGCTGCTGCATTCCAGGTAAGGTGCACCTGCTGTGCTGCTGCACCAGATACGGCCTAGCATTCCTCTGACTTCAATGGACCATCAGTCATCAACAGGCAGAGAGAGGCAAGTGGGGAGAGGCAGAGTGTAACATATTTTTGTGCTGTTTATACAGCGCTGGAATGCCGCTGGCTCACGGACCCTGCAAATCTGACTGCAGCCCTGTGTCTCCTGAGAAACATTAGCAAATCTATCCATGAAAACTTTGAAACAGAAAATAAACGATAGTCCTCGCACTGCCTACCTTGATGAATAACTGTTTTCTCATGTTCTTGCAGTTCTTGCTCACAGCAGCCTTGCATTGGACCACACTTGAGAGTGCCAGAGGCTCAGGCATGTTGCCATCCATGTCTGATCCACACAGCAGTTGGGGTCTAGGGTAAATGCCAATTCCCTCTTGACCCCAGCTGGTCGACATCTCAAAGGGATCAGGGCATTTCTCATCAGGGCTGGACCCATCATCACTGTTCTTGGAGTTGCAAAGGATGAGGGATCTTGAAAGTGAACGTAACCTTTTTGCTTTCCTGCTCCCAGCATTGCTCTTTCGATCCATCTTCAGGGAGCTGTTGACGCTGCCTTTTTTCCTCTCGTGCTCCCATTTATGCGGCATGACAGTTTCAATAACTTCTTCTGGTCTTCAGCAGCTAAAATATCCTTCAGGAAAGGAAATATGAAAAGTGAGCTATAATAAGCCCCCACTTTTCC